CTCCGGTCCTGTTCCCCTCTGCACCTCTCTCTCTCTCACTCACTCTGCTAATGCCCCTTCCGGGTCTGGCCCTGCTGGCTCCCATCCTTCCATGATGGTGGGGGTGGGGGAGGGGACAGAGGGAGACCTAGTCCACTGATGAAGCCCAGCGAAAGGTTTAACCCTTGGGTGTTCAGCGTGCCAGAAGTAGGCCAGAGGCTGGCCCGTCCACAACAAGGCGAAGGCGGGCCGGCTGCTCATTCCCTCTGGGGAGAGGGACAGCCCCGCCAGCCAAACCACCAGGGAAGGGGGTGGCTGGCCGCCTGCTGGGGACCTGGGCTCCTTAGTTTGGCAGGGCATCTCCTTCCCATAGGAACTAGCCTTTCTGCTTCTGCCACTGGCCTCTTGCCCACTCGGCCCTCAGTGACAAAGCTCCTGACACTCTTGAGGCAAGAGATCCCCAGCCCGGGCCCTGCAGCCAGGGACTCCCTGCCCTAACTAGGGTCCTGCCAGACAATGACACACGTCCTGCCCAGGGGGCTCTTCCAGGACCCTGGGATGGTCCTCTAGGGAAAGGAGCTAGGCCTTGGGAGATAGTCCCCAGCCCCCTTGGGTAGCATTCACCAAGCTGCAGGAGGCCAAGTTCCCCGGGACTCAGCACTGCATGCCTGGCCTCTGATCCCGCCTCACTCACTGTTGATGTCAGGGGAGTCCCCAGGCCTCTGCCGGCCCTCCTTTGCACAGGCAGCTCCTTGTGCTATCTGGGCCTCCCTTTCTGTATCTCTGACCTTCGAGGCCTGTCATCTCGAGAGCCAGCCCTTCCAGGAGGCCCACCCAGGTTCCTAGGGCCGTCTCTTGCCCCTTTTTCTTGTCCCTTCAATCACAGTGCAAGCTCCTTGAGAGAAAAAGTCACGTCTTCCATTCCCTTTGAACCTCCAGGCGCCTCGTAAGGGAGAGGCAGGTTTACGGGAGTGGGAAGAGTTGGTCCAGGACCACAGACTCTTTGGGAACTTAGACGCGTCCCTTCAGTGGAAACAAGGCCCTCTCTCAGGTCTTTGCTCAAATAACATGAGTAGACGTTGGCATAGACCAACGATTCTCAACTTGTGGGTTGCGCCGCCTTTTGGGGTCAACGGCCCTTTCAGGGGGGGTCGCCGGATTCATAACAGTAGCAAAAGTACAGTGATGAAGTAGCTACGAGAAGAATTGTGTGGTTGGGGGGTCTTCACAACATGAGGAACTGTATGAAAGGGTGGCGGCATGAGGGAGGGTGAGAACTGCTGGCATAGACAATCTTCCCATGAACACTCGGGTACGTCAGCACCCCGCAGCAAGACCAGCCTCTGGACTCACTGGCTTCCGGGTGGGGGGTGGG